CAAAAAATGTTGTCATGTGGACAGGCCCTTGATGTAGCTCATGATGCTTAATTAACTCATCACAGGAAGTATCTGAACAGGAAGTAGAGTCATTATTGTTAATCTGCAGCTTCACCTCGATCCGTGCGCTGTGAGGATGTAAACAGACACATGAGGAACTACTCTTGCCTTTTTACTTTCAAAGAACATACCAGGGTCCTATCAGAGTCCTATCAGGGACGTTCAAGGGTCCTATCAAGGACCTACCAGGGTCCTACCAAGGTCCTATCAGGGTCCTACCAGGGTCCTATCAAGGTCCTATCAGGGTCCTATCAGGGTCCTACCAGGGTCCTACCAGGGTTATACCACGTTGTGACCTTCTGCAACAGTACTCCACACTCAGAGAAGGAAAGCACCAGTTTCCCTACATTTAAGAAACAAATTCTGTCTGACACAAATAACAAATGAATAAATGTAAATATAAATGTACCTGATTTTTTTAAATGAAAGATCTCATTTTGACGGGTGGCCAATTAGGACAGGTTGTGGATAAAAAAGGAATTGCAGATCGTACTAACCAGATAGTCAATAAAGTATGTGCAATATAAAGCCATCTGAAGGACTACAGTACTGTGAAAGTGAAAGTGCGATGAGTAGAATTTTAATGTGATGAATTTCAAATCTAAAACGCGCCCATGTTGATTTTCATTTCAAACCACACATCCATACATTTACTCTTGAAAAAAAATGGCCTGGCAGGAAATCAAACCAGCAAATCTGAATATATTTAACTCCCTGAATCATTATCACTAATTTACTCACTTTTATTCAAATTAAACTTTTACTGATGCTTTTAGCTGTCTAACAACCACAAATCACACTGCCACTAACTACTGTGTCAGTCTGTAAAAGCGCGTTTCCCATGTAGTCAAAGGCTTTTTATCCACCGCGGCGCTCCTTCTTAGCGCTAATAAAGCTAATGCATCCTGAGAGACGCTGCCAAACACTGACCCCAGTTCGTGAATCAAACTCGGGCTCTCTCATTGGAGCGTCGTCCTCTTCGGCTTTCACAAGATTGAGGCTAAGTGGCGGCTACGAAGGGACTAATTCAGGCAGCATCAGAGCTAACAGCGTGTATCATAGACTCGCTGAAACAGGAGCTAGACTGCTTTCTGACAAATAAAACTTCAAATCAAAGAGGAAAAGAGTGTGTCATTTGGTCGAGTTTTAAAGGTTCATTGCGTAACTTTTCCTGAGGAGGGTCCGCCATGTGCTTTTGTTCTTACTTTGTCTGGAATGTTTCACAGTGTGGTATTAAACCTTTCTATATTCAGGGAGACCAAACCAGAGCAAGTTACAGGTCAGATCTGTGGAGAGGCAACCCCACTCACAGTCAGAATGTCTGTTTTTCTAGGTATTTTTGAGCTTTAATCCCACCTGTAATTGAATAAATGTAAAGTAGAGCAGTTTAATGTCATACTGGCCACGTTTACATTATGTTTTTTTTAAATTCTGAATTAAAAAGTTTGGAATTAAATTATTCTCCTTCGAGTTTATATGGAAATAATAATTCCAATTTACAGGAAAACATGTTAAATCGCCTTTATTTAATTCTGCTCAACGTCTGGGGGTCCGGGAGGGTTCTGATTAGACAGGGGGCGCACAAATGTAATGGACCAGAAGAAAACACACACTTCAGCTGCTACCGGCTTTTTTGTCATCTCGGTTTGTTGTTACGCGTGGGGATGTGTACCGCTGTTTCCCCGCTCATACAAACTGGGGAGCAACGGTCCAAACCCAGACTCCTGAACCAGCGAAGAGCAGCTTTGGTTCACTTTCTGCCCAGATGAACTGGAGTGAGGAGTGGTGTTAAGTGCCTCGGCCTGAGAAGAGCTTCCCCCGGATGAACCAAGCGCACAGAGGATGGACCACTCAGAACAAAATATAATCAACCAAACAGGATTTGCACTTCTGTCTGGATGTTTTGCACCACCTCGGTACCTGCCGCAGTCCTTGAGCACGGAGGACCGGAGCAGCCCCACCGGACCTGTAGTCCACAGTGCATTCTCACTTTTCTTGCAGTACGTCATCACTGAACGACTGGAATTATTTTTAAGAGGAATAAAGGTTTACTAGCCTGAGTCATCGACCGGTCTCTCTTCACGGAAGCCATCTGATCTCGCAGCATTAGGATTCATTCGCTCAACAGTAGGTTGTTCTTTTTTAATTTAACCGATCTCTGCTATTTGGTTGTGACGTACATAATGCGCCAGAACTCTCAGTGGTGTTGTGTTGTGTTGTGTAATTGCCGGCACAACAGCAAACAAAGCAGAGAGTGAACATGTCTGTCAACCATCATCGTCGTTTCTGTGAGATGAACTTGTGAATTAAAGGTGCAATAAAAAATGCAAAGTTTGTATTTGACAAAGGAAGTCCAAAGGAGGATAGAGAATGCAGTCTGATATCGCAACTCGGGTTGGTTCTGCTCATCTACTACTTCCAGGGTTCTTGCAATCTGTCTAGTGTATTCCAATTCCTGACCTAGTCGCTGGAGAGAAATGAAATTGAGCGGAGGCACTAGATGGCACCAGCCTGACTAAACGGCTTTAAAATCACAATAAACCACTCACTTAATTTGGATTGACCATATTTTCTGCACTATAGGGCGTGCTCTTAAGCCTCCAACCCCATCAAAAATTGACTACGCGCCACAATCCAGAGCGCCCCCATACACGAATCCACTCGAGTGTCTCAGCACGACTTCAGTAAACTACAAAGCCGCACCACCCGCAACGCACGCAAACACACACGGAGCAGACAGCGACCGCACAGCGAAAAACACTCACAGCCACGCTCATCACTCCACACCGACGAGGAACGGAACAGAGGAACGAACTGAAAAAGCAAGTGCAATGTGGCCACTTCTAGACACGACTGAACAACTGAGTCACTGTGAACACGCCGACAATCCGTTGGTCCCAGACAGCACCCTCCCTACACGCCACAACTGAACAAAGCCCAGAGTCACCGTGAACACAACAAACAAAGTCCCACTGACCCATCCAACTGTTGTGTTTCGTTTAAAGTCCGGTGCGGTTTATTTGTGGAAAAAGTTCGAAAATAGACCATTGCACCTTATAATCCAGAGCGCCTAATAGCCTGGAAAATACAGTAAGTTTAATTCTGAAATATCATTAGGAATTAAGTGTTTACATGTTATTTTTAAAACGGAATTCATTTTTATTCTGAATTTAATTATTTTTAATCAGAATTAAAGCTCTCATGTAAACGGGCCAACTGTGGAACATTCCAGGTAGAGCAATGACATCTCCATAGAAACAAGAAGGTGACGGACCCCCACCCAAAAAATTACACAGTGCACCTTTAAGACACTGCCTTACATCTGTCACATAGTTGTTTACATTAAGTAGAGGATCTGTTCTTAATTAAGTCCAATTAGGAACCTTATGCAAATTAGGACAGTTCACACCTTAGGGAAGTTCAATCAACTTCACAGATATTCCATACTGTAAGAACCCACCCACCTCCAACGCTAATTACACAAAACTTGAGGTAGGATTTTAATGAGGAAATGACTACGATAAAAGCCAGGAGGAGGTGGTCTGAGGTCAAATAATTAGTCGCAGTATAACAGTAGTAGTAATTAGTAGTAGTTGTAAAGTAGCTGATTGTTTAAAATCTCGCTTAAAAACACATTTACTTTTAAACTGGCATGAGAATTGTGTGATCCTCTGACTGTCTTTTACTGATGTAATTTTTCTATTTGCTAATTTTAGTATTTTGTGTTAATTTTCAGACTATAAGGCACATGTTAAATCCTTGAATTTTCTCAAAAAACTGACAGTGCATCTTATAATCCAGTGTGCCTTATGTATTAAGTGTAGTTGTGTTTACTGACCTTGAACCGATTTTATGAGGTACACGACGCTCAAAAATCTGTCAAAATGTTTTAATACGACTTTGGTAAGATACAAAGCTGCACCACTTGATAGATTGTCAGAAAATTATGGCTATCGTAGTCTGGAGCCTCGCGGAGTAAGTCCGACAGAAGCAGAACCACATCAGTGTACAAGGCGTGAGCTGTTTTTTTCAGCAGTTATAGTTTATGCAAATGAGCCATGTGGTTTTAAGTTTTGTTTCTGTAAAATGTAAACAAATGTAAATGTAAACACATTATTACTCAGTGTATATTTGGGTTCTCCTCGTAGTAAAAAAATAATAATAATAAATTATCCATCCATATTCACATTCATAATCCACTTTCACCAGTACAGGGAGGCAACACCAGGTGAATTACACCACGATCTGCCGATGGATCGTGGACGCCTGGGCTAAAGGATCAGTCTCAAGTGTCGTTTGTTTGTTGCACTTAATGCGCCTTATAATTCGGTGCGATTTATAGTCTGAAAAATACGTTATATTGTAGCTACTTTGTGCAGCACTTTGTAAGTAAGTAAGTCTTTATTTATATAGCGCTTTCACAGACATTTTCTGTCCCCAGAGACGCTTTACAGAGCATTATTCCCCATTATTCATTCACTCTATACCCTGGTGATGGTAAGTTACTATTGTAGCCACAACTGCCCTGGGGCACACTGACAGAAGTGCAGCTGTCATGCCAATCAGCGCCATCGGACCCTGCGACCACCAACATCATTCACACACATGTGCAATGTGGGTGAAGTGTCTTGCCTAAGGACACACTATGATTGAATTGATTGTATTTAACTGACCATGACTATCAACTGTTCTTGGAGACCTGTAGCATGTTTTGGGTTGATGGGGGAAACCGGAGCACCCGGAGGAAACCCATCCAGACACGGGGAGAAACATGCAAACTCCACACAGAAAGGCCCTGGCGACCCGGGGATCAAACCCAGAACCTTCTTGCTGTAAGGCATGAATGCTAGCCACTCAGCCACCGTGCCGCTTTGGAGACATTGTGTTGGTAAAATGTGCTATACAAACAACAAAGCAGGACTGGAGTAGTCATTTCTCACCATCTGAAGCCTCATACTCTCGTGCGTGCCACTGGCTCCCGGGCAGACGCCACTGCACTCTGTACTTGAGGATGGTGACTCCTCCTGAAGAATCAGGCTCATCGAACTCCACCACGGCTGTGCTGGAGAAGGGCTCCACCTGCTGGATCTCCGGGGAGGACGGCACCTCTGTGACAAACGGCAAACATGGCACAGTGTTAACCACGTTACCAACATTTGGGTTTTTACTGGTTATGTTGTAGTTCTAGAGCGCCCTTCTGTGGTGAAGCTCAGTGTAGTCAGGTAAAGTGAGATCCCTGTGTAAAATAAACATACACGACTGGTCAAAAGTTTTAAAGCACCTCTCTTTTTCCAGTTTTTTTACGGTTTACTGTTGACCGAAAGGTATTCTAAACCTTTGATTCATCAAATATAACAGCTGAACACACTCGTGGCTCGTTCTTTTTACAGTAGAAATCAAATATTCTTCAGAAAGTTCTTCCCAAATCTGTTGCAGAAGTTCCCATAAATGTGTGGCACTTGTAGAATCTGTGTATAATTCGTTCATTCGTTTTTGAAAATAAAATCAAAAATAAGAAAACGAAAAAACAACAGATTTCTTCATTATTTGTCTCCAGAACCAAAATGAAAAAACAGATAACGATTCGTTTTTTTCAGTTTTCGATTTTGTGTTTAAATGAAGAATGGAAAAAACTGATAACGGCTGTTTCCTGTTTACGTGACTTACATGACTTCCGTGACTGCGATGTCGGACTTCTGCACAGCATACGAACTGAACCAGGACTGACCAGATCAGACTGAGCTCAGGACTGAGACTGAGACTGAGACCAGGACCAGACTGGAGGCTCAGAGCCCACGGCAGGGCCCTAGCTCAAAGCTGAGGCTTGGACCCCGCAGAGGCTTGGAGTCAAAGCTCGGAGTCCGCTCTGGTCCTGGACCTGGATCAGTCCTGGTTCAGTCCGTATGCAGTGCAAAAGTCCGGCATCACAGTCACGGAAGTCACGTAAACGGGAAACGGCCGTTATCCCTTTTTTCCATTCTTCATTTAAACACAAAATCCAAAACAGAAAAAACAAATCGTTATCCGTTTTTAAAATTTTGGTTTTGGAGACAAATAATGAAGAAATCTGTTGTTTTTTAATTTTCTTATTTTTGGTTTTATATTCTATTCTGTCCAGTTGCTCCCAAACCAGCTCGATGGGGTTTAAGTCTGGACACTGTGCTGCTGCTGGACACTCCATGTTTTCAAGCTTTACCGTCTTGTTCTTTTTTCCTGAGGTAGTTTTGGCAGAGCTTGGACTTGTGTTTTGTACCTTTTATCTTTTTTAAACCTCTGGCTGTTCAGTACTTTCCTTTGTACCATTTCAGGCTCTTCACTGAACTTGCACGACTTTAATTGCGATAAACAACTGGAAAAATGAGGCCAACTGTGAGATCATTCGTTAAAATGTAACTGGTCTGGGGTGATCAGACGTCCACGAAAATACGGCACAGTCCTGAAATTCAAGTCCACGTCCCAAATCCTGTCCCTAAAATCTGATCGTCGTGACTGGTCTATAGACACAACACTCCTCTATTATGCTGTGTGAGCATGAGCACACTGTGACGCACACTGTGACACTCCCACAGGCTCTTCTCCACTGATTTATTGGGATTCAGCACCACAGCCGAAAACATGCTCCACAAACATCTGCGGTGAATACAATAGAACTATTTGTCCACAAACTCGGGCTGTGACAGACAGAGGGACAGATGTAGGCCTACGGTACATATCGAAAGAACTCCTCTGTGTGTTAAAGTGCTTTACTGTTGTACGGTACAGTGTGTTCACATGTTTACGTGTGTGAACCTTTGTATCCACCTTATTCTGCCTGTTTTGTTTCTGAATAATACTAACCCACACGTCCCTGCATGCTGGCGTTTCTGTTTGAGTGGGAATTTGGTTAATTTCTATGCAGAGGTAGAGAAAAGTCTCACCGCTAAAATTGTCAACACAGTAGTAAATTCAACAATGCACCTTTTTGTGGGAGGTCTGAAAACAGATTTGTATTCTGAATTAGGGCTGCTCGATTATGGAAAAAATCATTATCTCGATTATTCAAACTATTATTTTAGTTACATTTATTCAGCATTTCTCTCTCCAAAAAACAAACAAACAAACAAACAAACAAAAAAAAAACACTTTGTTATTGATAATTTAGACAAAACTTTCAAATTGAAAATAAACATAGGCTACAAATTTGAACCTTAGAGCAGTTTTGTGATGTATAAAATGAATAAATAAAATATACTTTGAACATGAAATAAGGCATAGAAAAACAGAAATGTATCCAAAATAAATTATATATCCAGCTGTTCATATATATGAGTTTGGAGATCATTTGATGCATGAAATCGTAATCAAAATTTTATTCATTTGAAAAGGCATAGACTGAAGACAACTTATTTGCTGTTGAGATCAGCAGATTTATGCAAAAAGTAAGTAAGTCCCTATTTATATAGCGCTTTTCACAGACATTTTTTGTCACAAAGACACTTTACAGATCATTACATTCAGCACTATTCAGTCACTCTATACCTGGTGATGGTAAGCTACTGTAGTAGCCACAGCTGCCCTGGGGCAGACTGACAGAAGCAAGGCTGCCATGCCAATCGACGCCACCCCTCCGACCACCACCATCACTCACACACACACCACTTTCATACTAAAAGAACATGCAACCAGAATAATAATGGCAGCACTTGTGTTATGTAGCATGTGCCTTATGTGAAAGCTCAGAACCTCCAGAATTCCCTCATCGAGTTGCAGAGGCTGCACTGGCACTGATTCATGACTGGATAATCATTTGGGAACCAAAACACAAAGTTGTACCACAGATAAATGAGCCATCATGTCCAATGTTTATATAACTAAGAATAAATCAACATCACCGTTGGTATCAGTAAAAGGTGTATTTGATTGGTTTGTTTGCGTGGAAATATGGGGGAATAATTATAAAACAAATATCAAGTCCATTGTCTTACAGCAAAAGAAAGCTATTAGAATTGTCAATAATGCAGATTACTATGCCCCAACAAACGCTCTTTTTATTCAGTTAAATACATTAAAATAACATGATCTTGTTGATCTCTATACTGTAATCAGAGCTCCCTCAGAGTATCCAAGAGATTGTGGATGTGTGTGTACCAAAAGATTTAAGAACGTATTCTTTTCCTCACTCATAAAAGACAAGTTTTTTTTGTTTGTTTGTCCAAATAGTTCTGACGTCTTGTTTCCTGTTTGATATGTTAATAGGTTTAGACAAAATAAGTGTCTAAACTTCAGTCTAAACTTGTTCAGTCTGTGTTAAATCATTGTAATGTGATGTATGATTATGTTAATTGACTGAAGAAACTAAACTAAACTAAAACTAACTAAACTATTTGAACACAGATTAGTCAAATTTATGACATTATAATTTGTGTCATGTTACATTTATAGTGTCTCATTAGCAGAATTATTATTGTTTTTAATTTCATAAATTTGAGCTATCTGTGTTCATATAGTTTAGTTTGTTTTAGTTTAGTTTATTTTCTTCAGTCTGCGTTAAATCACTGTAATATGATGTATGATTATGTTAATTGACTGAAGAAAATAAACTAAACTAAAACTAACTAAACTATTTGAACACAGATAAGTCAAATTTATGACATTCAAAACAATAATAATTCTGCAATCAGACACTATAAACGTAACATGGCACAAATTATAATGTCATTTCATTTTACAACTTTTATTACAAAATAAATCAAACCAATAACTAAAAACTATTACTCCGAATAACTCCCTCTTTTGAAGCGCCTGTCAAACAGTCGGACGCCTCATTACCATCTCATGAGTACTACAACACGACCGGGCTGTATACCCCGACTTAACTTCCCAAATGAAACAGCTCCAACTGTTAATGACTCGCTCAAATCCCTAATTGTTTGAACACTAAAGTAACTGTGGCGTGTTTTGAATCGCCAGCTGCACTTTGATTGTCCAAAACTCCAAACTCAAAGCGCTGGCTGCTCAGTGGGAACTTGTTACCGAGAACGATTCACAAAAGGTCCCCTCTTGGTTTAATGAGTCCTGAACTATTAGCATATCAATCGAAGCTAATACGCCGGCGCTTTTAAAACCGCGAGTACAAAATATACTAGTGTTTTAAGATCACAGCCTTTTGCAATTTAGACCAGAGATTATATGTAAATTCGGGTGTTGTTTGGGGGCCGTAGCTGCGGTTCGCCCAATGGTGCGATGTCCAATTACGCTCAGATCAGAAAGCGCGGAGTCGTCTGTGATCTCGGTAAATACGAGGCCGTGTTGGACCGGGCAGGTAGGTCGCTATAGTGGAGACTAATTGGTTGCGTGGTTGTAAATATAAAGAACGGTAATATCCACAGAGTAAAGTGGAGAAGAATAGAGTAGAAGAAAAAGAATAACATGATGCCAATTTGTTCTGATCTTTAACACTCGTTTTTTTATGATATAATTTACTGTATGTTACGTTTTACTCGTATTATCGTCTGTGCTTTGAAGTGTGGTCGTGTGTTTGTACTTTGTTGTGGCAGCTCAGAAATTTCCCTATTGTTGGTTGGACAAATAAAAAAATCTTCCTGAATATTCTTAGATTTGGTCCAGGTGTCAAACATACAGTGTCTTGGAGGGTCGGATCCAAGAACTTTAATCTGGCCCTCGGCAGATTTTCTACTAAAATATTTGGTAACATTTTATAATAACGACACCTGACTTAGCCTTAATAAAGCATGAACAAAGACTTAATTAATAATGAACAAAGATTGAATTAATAATGATTCACACTTAGTAAATGCTTAATAAAGGATAATTAGTCTTCACTTTAGAAAAGCTCTCAAAAAGACTTAACTAACAGATAACAGCTGCCTGAATGATCATTGTATTATTAGTAAATCATTCTCTCATAGTTTACTAATGATTAATAAATGCTCAAATGGTTAGTTCATGAGTAATTAAGTATGAAATAATTATGAGTAACTATTTACAGCACAGGAAAATTAAGTGTAAGTGCTAATTAAGGTAGTAATTAAGTAGTTACTAAGCGTGAATCATTATTAGTTAAGCCTTAGTTCATGCTTTATTAAGGTTTAGTTATTATAAAGTGTTACAAAATATTTCAATAATATTTTCTATTAAATATTGGTAATTTTCAGCAGTGTTTATCACAGCAGCGTCTCCAGCGTCTCTGTACGTGGCCCCTCCCACCAGAGCAGCACAAATGAAGACTTGTCTCTTTCCAAACGCTCTTAAAGGACGATCGTTTTGACTGTTGACCGTGACACCCTCATCAACAAAATGTCCAACATAAGAAAAGTGGAGCCTGAGTGCAGGATTTTACAACAAAAAAAAAGACTGACTTATTCTTATTTGCAAACAAGTTCATGTTAAAACTTTGTGTTGAAATTACATTTTTCTTAAAGTTTCAGGTTGTTCATAATATTATAATATTTTGTAAAAGAAAAAAAATAATCAATTAAAAAAGATTTCTGTAATAGATTTGCGTTTCTCTGCACAAATATTTGAACTTATTGTTATTTTTGGGGTAAATATGACATGAGTTTTGTGAATGAGTTTGACACCCCTGATATTTACACTACCGGTCAAAAGTTTTAGAACATCATAATTCTTCCAGTTGTTTATTGCAATTCAAGTCGTGCAAGTCCAATGAAGAGCTTGAAATGGTACAAAGTTTAAAAGAAGATAAGAACACAAAACACCAAAAGTCCAAGATCTGCCAAAACTACATCAGGAAAAAAGAACAAGATGGTAAAACTTGAAAACATGGAGTGTCCAGCACAGTGTCCAGACTTAAACCCCATCGAGTTGGTTTGGGATGAACTGGACAGAAGAGTGAAAGTCAAGAAACCTACAAGTGCCACACATTTATGGGAACTTCTGCGACAGACTTGGGAAGAACTTTCTGATGAATATTTGATTTCTGTTGTAAAAAGAACGAGCCACGAGTGTGTTCAGCTGTTATATCTGCCAAAGGTGGACACTTTCATGAATCAAAAGTTTAGAATATGTTTTGTTCAATATATTAATTCCATGATTTATTTTTCAACTGAAATTGCTTATTTGTTCTATGCTTTCATTTGCTTAGGTGCAATGACACAAAAAACTAAATAATTTTCGGTGTGCACAGTTATTACAATTAATAGGAGAGATGCATTGTACCAGGTTGTAGCACCAGTGCGAATTTCCACCTGTCGTCCCTGGGCAGGTTCATTGATTGATTGTATTTAACTGACCTTGGCAATCGACTGTTCTTCCTGTAGAACTATGTAGCATGTTTTGGGTTGACCAAAGTACATCTGTGACATGTTAGTGCCACATGAACCATCTCGCACTCTGAGGAGCTCAGGGACCGGCCTCCTGCTGGTGCCCAGAGTCAGGATTAAACACGGGGAGTCAGCGTTTCAGATTCATGCAGCTAAAACCTCGAACAGTCTTCCTGAACATGTGAGACTCAGAACGGTTCTGTTTAGACTCCTTATGACTGAAAGGTTTTCATTTTTCATTCCGCACTCTTCTCTCTCGTTTAATGTCTCTCTCTTTTTAATTTTATGATGATTATTTATGTTTTGATTTCTGATTTTAATCTATTTCTTATTCTGTAAAGCACTTTGAATTACTTTGTGTACAAAATGTGCTATACAAATAAACTTGCCTTGCTTCGTTCCTTGTAAAATCCTCTATACAACTTTTAAGATGATAATTATTTGCTTTTAATCTAATTAATCAAATCCACACAGAATAGACAAGACAGACAAACAAAAAAGAAATCATAAATAAAATAAATACATTTAATTTTAATTTGAAAAATGTCTTACCTGCTTGTATGAGGAGGAACTCCTTGGACTCACTGCCCATGCTGTTGGTGGCTGTGCAGTTGTAGCTCCCAAAGTCATTCTGAGACTCAGGGTTGATCTGAGAAAACACACAAGCACAAAACACGACGCTGTGAGAATCATCCACACCTACATAAATATCTGTATGTGCACCGTATCGTCCTGAAAGATAACTATGCTCGTGACAGCTTTTTAAAGACCATTTACTTATTGTTTTTCTGTGTATTTGTCTTGTCTCACTACAGATATATTGCAGCTCTTGAGGTCAAAGTGTGTCTGCTGTCTCTTGTGTCTGCATCTACTTTTCTACATTTTATTGTCCAATAACGAGGAAGTGTGTTACAGCATGCTAGTTGTTGTGAGCTTTACTGTAATGACAAAACTCTGGTCCGCTCTGGTCTCTTGAGAGAGCGCTTATAAACTCAGTAAAAAAGTGAGGAATAACTCTGGACCACAAACTAGTTCTATTTTTTTCATATTTTAAGGTTTTTCATATTTTAATCTACACCTTTAACTAAAACTGAGACTAAACCTGGTCTAAGGCCTGGTTTGAATCAAGGTTTGGTCCTGGTCTGGTCCCGGCCTCAGTCCCGGTCCTGTTCCTGGTCTCAGTCCCGGTCTCAGTTCTGGTCTGGTCCCAGTCTCAGTCCCGGTCCTGGTCCCAGTCTAAGTTCTGGTCTCAGTCCCGGTCTGGTCCCGGACCTGGTTCAGTCCTGGTTCAGTCCTGGTTCAATCTGGCATCGCAATTTAAATCACGTAAACGGGAAACGTCCGATATCCATTTTTTCCATTCTTCATTTAAACACAAAATCGAAAACTGAAAAAATTAATCTTAATCAATTTTTTTCATTTTGGTTTTGGAGACAAATAATGAAGAAAATAGTAGTTTTTTTTGGTTTTCTTATTTTTGGTTTTATATTGAAAAACGAACGAACGAATGATACACGGATTCTGACAAAACACGACACGAGCACCTACGTATTTCTATACAATTATTATTATTTATTAGCAAACTGGCTCAGATTTGCTTTCATTTTACACGTCGCCGTTCGTTATCAGTTAATGAAAGTCTGTTTTTTATTAATTTTAATGAGTTTCTGCTGGTAAACATGTAGTTATTGTTGTGATGAGATAGGCCTCATTGTGGCTGTTTCACAAATACAATACGAGCATATGGCTGAGAGGATAAGCACCTCGCTGTGTTTGGCCCTTGCACAATGAAAGCTGCTTTGAAACTGAATCGTACTGGAACCTTGTGAGAAATGAAAATCCAGTTGTTTTTATATTACCGTGTTTAACCAGTGGTGGAACGTAACGAAGTAAAAGTACTACAAAAAAAAAAGTACTGGACTTAAAGGTGTAACTTTTCTGTTGAGGGTTGATCTAATGCTTTTCTTCATGGAGATGTTATTGCTTTGTCTGGAATGTTTCGCAGTATGGCATTAAACCTTTCTATCTTCTCGGAGACCAAACCAGACCAAGTTACAGGTCAGATCTGTGGAGAGGCGACCCCGCTCACAGTCAGAATCCATGTTTTTCTAGGTATTTTTGAGCTATAAAACCACCTGTAATGTAATAAATGTAAGGTAGAGCTGTTTAATGTCACACTGTGGAACATTCCAGGCAGAGCAATGACATATCCATAGAAACAGGTGACGGACACCCAACCCAAAAGGTACATAGTGCACCTTTAAGTAAATAATGTAGGCATCTGTACTTTACTCGAATACATTTTACAGTGGATACTACATTTGGGTGTATCTGTATTTTCTACTTCGCAAAATTTTTTAACTGGACGTAAACATATTTTTTATCAATTTGTTATTTTTGTATTGTGTGAGACCTGTTTAACGGTTGTGAGGTTTGTTTATTTATTTATTTATCATTTATTTTATCAAGTTACAGCAAAAAACAAAACAACAACAACAAAATAAAACAGCTAAGAATTCAATTCAAACTATTGATTTAATTATTTTGTCTGAACAGAATTCAGCAAAAATCTTTATCAAAATCACTACATTTGAAGGTTTATTAGATCTGAAAATCTGCAAGAAATATTTTTACTTTTTATTGTTTCAGTAAATTTTTCAACCAGTTTTTTTAATTTAATACTTTTACATAGTTTGTTTTTTATATTTCCTCAGAGGAGGACTCAAATATACACTAAGTTATAATGTGTTTAATGCAGCTTTGCGCACATTTGTTAACATTTTACACAAACAAAACTTAAAACCACATGGCTCATTTGCATAAACTATAAGCGCTGATGCGGTCAGCTTCTGTCGGACTAAAGGACATGACTCTCCGAGGCTCCTGACTACAGTAGCAGTTCATCCGACAATCCGACAATGCATCAAGCGGTGCGGTGCTTTGTAGTTTACCAAAGTCGTACTAAAACATTTTGACAGATTTTTGAGCGCCGTGTACCACAAAAAAATCGGTTCGAGGTCAGTCAGCACAACCAGAATTAATACATAAAGTGCACCGGATTACAAGACTGACTGTCAAATTTTGAGAAAATTATAGGATTTTAAGTGCGCCTTATAGTCCGAAAAATATTGTACCTATTGTATCTGGTCAAAAATGTAAATTAAAGGTCTCATTAAATGCCAGTTTCTGACCTGTTACCATGATGTTTCATCATCATAAACATACATGGAGTTTGTTTCAATCACACACAAATCTTGCATATCTAGCAACTGATACCTTCAGAATCAGTTGGATAATTTCAGCTCTGGATTTGCTGATCTCTATTGAACAAAAGGAGAAATGTAGCTGTTAACTTGAAAACTAATGTAGGATCACTCAAACATGTGTGAATGAAACAAAAAAACACAACTCCGGGTCTGTTTTTGAGGATGTAAAGACATTCTAAGATGGTTTAAAGCTCATAAGAGTCAGTTTAGCGTGAGCAGACAGTACCTCGAGGTAGCTGACGGAGGGGGTGTTGTAGATCTTGACGTTGCTGGAGTTGGCGTTGGGCAGCTGGAGACCGTCTCTGAACCACGACATGTCTGCGGACGGGTGAGCCTCCACCTCGCAGCTGATGTTGGCGGGGTTCCCCTCCCACGTGTACACCGTCACCTGGCCCAGGATCTTTGGAGAGTCTACGGAGAGATGAGAGGGGAAGATGTGAGTTAAAGGTGGACTGTGGAACGTTTTGGCTGGGGATCCTTCGTCTGCTTCTTTCTATGGGTATGTCATTGCTCTGCCTGGAATGTTCCACAGTATGACATTAGAAAAACAGACTGACTGAGAGCGGGGTCGCCTCTCTACAACTTGGTCTGGTTTGGTCTCCATGAAAATAAATAAGTTTGTGAAACATTCCAGACAAAGCAATAACATCTCCATGAGAAAAGCATTTAACGGACCCTCCACCAGAAAGGTTACACACTTTTACTGTCATAAAAACTTTAAAACGGTTTGCAGTGGTCCAAAGTTTTTCCTCAAGTACCTTATGCATTCTGACCATCCTAATTATTCACCAAAATTTGTTTATAGCTGCTTTCTTAAATTGTCAGAGGCCAGTGCTGAGTTTTGCCGTGGTAGTAATACTAACAACAACTAGATGACCAACCGCACACTTCCTGATTATCAGTACAGCTGCATATCTCCATGGTAATGTAAATGCATTGCCTAAAATGTTCCACAGTATGGCATTAAGTTTATTTAATGTAGAGAAAGATTCACTGGTACCGCTAAAAAACAAAACAAAAAACATCTGCTCCCCTTGGGCACCACAGTTTTGTAACGCAGAAATCAGCGAACTTGTTTCTTTTATTAAGTTGTTTTAGATGAATTTTGCAGTTTAAAATGTACAATTTCTGACATAAATGCCACGTTTACATGACAGCTTCAAAAAGTGATTTAATTCTGAATGAAAATTAATTCTGCTTTTAAAAGGCCATGTAAAGATGAGAGTAGAATTTGAATGGCCAACCTTTGGATCAGTGGACAAACGCTCGACCAACTGAGCTACTGTCGCCCTTTCACACTGGAAACAGGTTAATGGTCAGATCTATGGAGAAGCAAGCCTGCACATGGTTAGGAATTAAAGTTTCTTTTAGTATTTTTGAGCTATAAAACATCTGTAATTGAAGAAATAAGAGAAATATTGCCGCATTCTGTTGAATGTCGGTAGACGAGAAATCCTGGGTTAGTTCTCCTGACATCCGTTGTTTTTTTCCTTTTTAAATGTCTTGAGTGCAAATTATTACGGTCAGAATAGAAATAATTAAGATTTCAGATTTCAGCTTAATAACAGTTATTTTGTCATGAAGAATCATGTTCTATGTAGTACCCTCTCTTTTACTGCATTGTACTGTATATTACTGTAGTACATTGGAGGATACCACATCACAGTACTTCAGTTACAAGGAGGGACATGTTCAAGTTTGTTCCTGTAAAATTAAGCATGGCATTTATCAACTGTAAAGATACAAGTATTTTCTAAAAACATATTTTCAAGTCAAGCATCAAGTCTTCTCAAGTCCGAGTCAAGTTCAAAGTCCCTGACCTTTAAGTCCAAGTTGAGTCCCAAGTCACTGACCTTCAAGTCCAAGCCGAGTCCCAAGTCACTGACCTTCAAGTCCAAGTTGAGTCCCAAGTCACTGACCTTCAAGTCCAAGTTGAGTCCCAAGTCACTGACCTTCAAGTCCAAGTTGAGTCCCAACTCACTGACCTTCAAGTCCAAGTTGAGTCCCAAGTCACTGACCTTCAAGTCCAAGTTGAGTCCCAACTCACTGACCTTCAAGTCCAAGCCGAGTCCCAAGTCACTGCACTGACCTTCAAGTCCAAGTTGAGTCCCAACTCACTGACCTTCAAGTCCAAGCCGAGTCCCAAGTCACTGCACTGACCTTCAAGTCCAAGTTGAGTCCCAAGTCACTGCACTGACCTTCAAGTCCAAGTTGAGTCCCAAGTCACTGACCTTCAAGTCCAAGTTGAGTCCCAAGTCACTGACCTTCAAGTCCAAGCCGAGTCCCAAGTCTTTCTCCATTTTATCAAGTCAAGTCTCAAGTCCTAAAAATAGTGACTCAAGTCTGACTCGGGTCCAAATCCTCACCTCTGCAATAAAACACTGCTGAACATTCCAGGCAAAGAAATAACATCTCCAAGTTACACAGTGCAGCTTTAACAATAAAAATATAATGTGATAAAGTTGATAAAATTCTTTCACCACTAAAATATCAAACATAACCTTTCATGCGGGAACCAATCCAAAACAAATCGCATTTTCCTGTATGTCCAGCTGTTATTTCTTCTCTCTTCCTCGCCGGGCTGAGAAATCGAATGAACTTTGACCGCCGCGCCACCCCTTCGAACACCTCTGCTTTTTAAAACAACACATTTCGTTCCCGCTTCGAGACTTATGTAACCGAGCCGGTCAATATCCACCGTCCTCCCCGCAGCCGTGCTTACATCCTCATAATGAACTATACCACCGGCTCCCATCGACTAGCGCAGATCTGCCAACGCCCACGTGTTGCCCGGGACGCTGACCTATCGATTAACTGTGTGTTTTAGCAGTTTTTTTACTCTCCTAATATCGTGAGGAAGAGGCTAAAACGGTTAGGGTCTGTGATATCTTCAAGGCGGTTCTCTGGCGGGGGCAGAGAGAGAAGCTAATTAGCGCAAATGGGAAAACGAGCTAGCTTTTGGCACGCCGGCGAAACGTTTGACGGCGGCTCACAGTTTGTCTTCTTGATTTATTTTCTGGAACAAACAGTCAACCGCGGAAATCAATCACGGCGACAACTAGATTAATGTTAGCGGGATCTGGGTTAAATTAGCTGCTCAAACGGCGAGGATTCTGCCAGTTAGCTCGTAACGGTCGTGTTACCAGAGACGGACTTGTTTAAAACCTGCTGCACTTCCGGGTAAGTCAGTTCTTTATGATCAGATTGTGTTAAAACTCAGATTAAAGGTCCAGTATTAAACAAAATTGACTCTTGTGAGCTTTAAGAATCCATGTATCATTTCTTTATTGTTTTTCAAAATAAAACCTAAAATTGGATCCAATTTATATCATATTTATATCCAAAACCAAAATGATGAAAAAAAAAAAAAAAAAAAAAAAAAACAGATAACAAGTCTTTTTTTTTTCTTTTCCAGTTTTTCATTTTTTTGATTTTAAATAAATAATGGGAAAAAACAGATAATGTCTGTTTCCTGTTTCTGTGACTTAAACTGAGATGCCAAACTTTTGTACCACATACAGACTGAACCAGAACTAAACCAGGTTCCAAGTCAGGTCTAAACCAGAACTGAACCAGGTCTAAACTGGTCTCAGTCCTGGCCTCATTCCCGGTCTGGTCCCGGCCTGGTCCCGGTCTCAGTCCTGGTCAGGTCACAGTCTGGTCCCGGTCTCAGTCCAGGTCTGGTCTCAGTCTGGTCCCAGTCTCAGTCCAGGTCTGGTCTCAGTCTGGTTCCGGTCTCAGTCCCGGTCTGGTTTCAGTCCTGGTCTGGTCTCAGTCTGGTTCCGGTCTCAGTCCCGGTCTGGTCTCAGTCCTGGTCTGGTCTCAGTCTGGTCCCGGTCTGGTCCCGGTCTCAATCCCGGTCTGGTCTCAGTCCTGGTCAGGTCTCAGTCTGGTTCCGGTCTCAGTCCCAGTCTGGTGTGGTCTGGTCCTGGTCTCGACTCGTTATTGAATCGTTATCCATTTTTTTTCATTTTTGATTTTGGAGACAAATAATGAAGAAAATTGCCCGAGCCCGTGGAGGAGGTGTCCGCAAAGCGCGATCGGGCGACGACTGCGCTTACCTCCGTGGGGCGCGGAGCTCTGCACTGGTCCTTTTGTCTGCAGTCATTTAACAGTCTGCACGGGCGCACCTCAGAGCCCATCCCAACAATGACTCCTTGTTCATTTTTAACTTTTTAACTTCTGTTTTAGTCCTGGTTTAGTCCTGGTTCAGTCAGTTTGTATTCTGATGGATGCTTCAGTTAGAATGCTTTTAATTTGTGTGTGATTTATCACGGGCACAGGCGGGTAACGGGTGGAATGGTAACGGGTCCGGGCGGGTGCAAGTTTAACTTTGATAAAATCACGGGTTAACAGGCGGGTGTGGTGCTGTACTGCGTGGGTGCGGACAGGTGCGAGTCTCCAAAACTGGACCCGTGCAGGATTCTGACACACACATTCTACATTCTACTAATCCTTCACATCACTCTCATCTGTAATGTGTACAAACTTGTTTAGAGATGTTTTAGATGAAGTAAGAACATTCTAATATGACTTAAAGCTCACAAAAGTACATTTTGCGTAACATGGGACCTTTAAGTACAGTTCTTTACTACTTTTACTTCCACCTCCGCTGAACCCTCATACATCGTCCCGCTGTGCAGTGCTGCCATGGACCTTTCATGGCCTGATAGAGTCTTCACTGTGAGTGCTGATACGAGCCCCAGAGAGAGGCCCTTTCTTCTTATCAATAATTACTTGGCATCCCTGAATGAGCTACCTGATTAGGCGCTGATTACGGGGCCTCTAACCACGCGCCCTTCAACATCTACGTCTCCTTCCACAAAGAAAAGAGGCCCTATCTCCAGGCGCATCGGTTCGGTCGTGTGAAGAAAAAAAGAGAGGAAAAAAAAAAAGGCTGTATTATTTCAATTAGCAGTTCATCACTGGCGTCATTTGATCTTAAGTGATTTGAAAAACTAGATGACATTGGATGCGCTAATTGAAAAGGGATTTACTTGAAATTGCGTTACAAGGAGATTAGCAGTTCTGTTTACAGGTCCTATCTTCAGGGTTCCTACAGGTTTTTCAAGTTACATTTAAGACTTTTTTTAAGACCATTTAAACTTAATATCTATGTCACATCTTATTTCATACACCTACCGACAAAGAAAAACATAATTCTTGAATTTGTGTTCATTCATTTCTCAAACAAAGGATTATGGGGAGTATAGAGACTCTTCCCGATAACGCCGGCATGAAACGTTTCGCTCGGTAACGTAAAACAAATGGCTGCGTCAAACTTTGTGTTCTGCTGAGATGTTCTTTGATTTCACGCTCTTCTGCTTCGTGTGTTGCTTGTGATGCTGTAACTCATGATCTTCAGTGACGTTTTGGAGGATTTTGACCCCGGGGCTGCGTTGTGTTAGCCT